CACGCAGTGGATTTCGATTGCCGTGGTGGGCCGTTGCGCAGCAAAAAACGTCGTGCTTGGATCATGGAGCGTGGAAGGGCCGGAGTCTAAGATCGAAGAACGATACTCCCGCACTCCAAGAGACTCACAAGCCAGAGTCAACGTATTCGGTTGCTGACTCTGGTTACCTTTCTGGGTGCTTTCGCAGACGACCAGGAGACACGGGGGGGTGGTTTTCTTATATCTCCACAGATACGTACAAGCATCATCGGATTCAGAATAGTGTCGTCGAGGGCGCACGCGGTGAAGCTGCGCGCTTGCAGCGACGAGGGGCCGATTTTCAGCACTGGCGCCCCACGCAACGGCAAACCACGCGAGGCCAGAAGAGAATTCTACCAGTTTCTTGGCGCCCTTCTCCGAAGCAGCTCTGGACATGGAGGGTAAGTACTTCTCGGGTTCTCGGGGATTTCAATGCGAGGCTGCACAGGCAGTTCCCGTTTTATGTTTTTAATGTTTGTTGTTTTTCTTTTCTTTTTTTCCACGTTGGGCCGTATGTTTTCGGCTGCCCGTCTGCGCAGCATGATCCAATTTCTAATCGCAGTCTGCTGCAAGAGTTGCGTGGGACACACGGGCTACTGGTCCGAAATTCGTTCTTCGACCACCCGCCAGAGGCGCAAATTACGTGCTACAGCACCGGTTCGAATCGTTCTGACCCACCTCGTCCAGAACATCTTGGCCAAATCGATGTTCTACTCTGCCTGGGGACCGGCAGCCGTTTGTCAGCGATGTTCGTAGTCATAGGTCATAAGGATGCGTCCCCTGCGTCGCACCATTTCCTGCTCCCCTGCTGCGTGCACCTGGGCGTTGAGAAAACCACCCGGGGGCGAAAGGAGAAACCCGACTTACAGGCGGTGTCTTGCAGCAGTTTGGCGGGCGATTTCAACGCCGCATTCCCAGGCAAAATGGCAGATCTAGACTCTGACTGGTGTACTTTGAATGAGTTGAACACAGCGATGGTAGTTGCCTTCGAACATGCTGCTGGGCAATGCCTGCCTACGGTTCCTGCAACTCGCCCTCGACCATGGATCAGCAGTGCGACCCTGGAGCTGATCGCGCGCAGAACGGCATGGTCCAGGCGGCGGTCAAAGCAGACAGAGAAAAGTGGCTTGGCGATCTCCTCGCCTCCGGGAATTGGGCCGAGATTTGGGAACTGCGGAAAGATTCGGTGGCGCGGCAGGGCCGCGCGAAGCACTCGATCGGGGGATTGGTTGACAGCGATCAGAGGGTTGACGCGCTCGCTGATTATTGGTCCAGGGTTCAATGTGCCGTGGGACCCGTGACCGATGTCGAACGCGCTTCCCCTGTCGGGGCATTCCCCCCAGTCCCAGGAGGCCCCGTTCTCCCAGAAAATGTTTGCAATGCTGCACGAAAGCTGAGAAGGACAGGTTTCTTGAGGCGATGGCGTCCTGGGGGATTTCTGGAAGGCTATCTGCGCGCCAGGTACTCTGGCTCTCGAGTGGGCTACACTAATATGCAACAAGTGCTGGACTGATAAAGCCGTGCCCGATGCGTGTCACGAAGCAGTCGTCGTCGCGCTGTTTAAAGAAGGCGACGCGGCCGAGTGCGCCAGCTATCGGCCAATATCATTGCTGCCAATCGGATACACGTTGCACGGAATGGTTCGCCTTGACCGCTTGAAGGACGCAGGTGCCGAAGGCAGAATCTGGGGCGCGGAGCTCCGATTTCCGATCGGGACGCGGCACCGCGGATGCGCTGTTCGTTGCTCGCAGGTTGATCGAAGACACTTGCTTGCCTTGGAATGGGCCGAGGCGTTTGTTGGCGTCGCGCCGGCCGCCCTGGTGCAGGCGCTCGCCCGCGTCGGCATCCCCGGGCGCTGCATCTACGCGGGCACATCTTTTCGAGTGTTGGGGGCGGGCCAGATGTCCGAGGCATGGCCGCGGGCCCGTGGTGTCTCCCAAGGCTGCCTGTTATCGCCGTTCCTGTGCTCGATCGTCATGGCCGTCCTCGTGCGGGATGCGAGCCGGGCTTTCCAAGTGCGCGGCCTAACGCAGGACGCTGGGGTACCCGTTAGCGAACGCATCTGCGCCGACGACGCCCAGGTCGTTGGAGCCAGCGACGATTGTGTGTGTATGTGTGTGTGTGTGCGTGCGCGTGCAAAAAAAATACCCTGGCGACGTGCCCGACCCCCGCGCAAACGCGGGGCGCAAATGGTTGAGGGCACTTTATGAGGGGGGGGGGGCGATGACGGAGCGAGGGCTACATGATCTGCAGACGGAATTTGAGAGACTCGCATATCACTTGCTACAGGACAAGGACTAGATAGAGCTGATTAGTTACAGTCCCTGAGCAACCCTAGCCACTTCGAACGCGGGGATCTCAGATCGCAGCCCCCCAGGGATGGCGAGGTTTAATTTGGGCCCGCGCGTGGCGTCACTGTGCTGGGCCCCCTAGCAGGCCTCGAAAGTGGCGACAGTTTCACAGATCGCAGCCCCCCCAGGGACGGCGAGGTTTAATTTGGGTCCGCGCGTGGCGTCACTGTGCTGGGCCCCCCGGCACGCTTCGAAAGTGGCGACAGTTTCGCAGCTCGCGGCCCCCCAGGGATGGCGAGGTCTCGTTTGAATCTGCGTTTGGCGTCACTGCGCTGGGCCCCCCAGCAGGCATCGGAAGTGGCGACAGTTTCACAGGTCGCAGCCCTCCAGGGATGGCGAGGTCTAATTTGAATCTGCGTGTGGCGTCACTGTGCTGGGCCCCCCAGCAGGCCTCGAAAGTGGCGACAATTTCGCAGATCGCAGCCCCCCCCAGGGATGGCGAGGTCTAGTTTGTGTCCGCGCGTGGCGTCACTGTGCTGGGCCCCCCAGCAGGCTTCGAAAGTGGCGACAGCTTCGCAGATCGCAGCCCCCCAGGGATGGCGAGGTCTAATTTGGGCCCGCGCGTGGCGTCACTGTGCTGGCCCCCCCAGCAGGCTTCGAAAGTGGCGACAGTTTCACAGATCGCAGCCCCCCCAGGGATGGCGAGGTCTAATTTGAAGCTGCGTGTGGCGTCGCTGCGCTGGGCCCCCCAGCAGGCTTTGAAAGTGGCGACAGTTTCACAGATCGCAGCCCCCCCCAGGGACGGCGAGGTTTAATTTGAGTCTGCGTGTGGCGTCACTGTGCTGGGCCCCCCAGCAGGCCTCGAAAGTGGCGACAGTTTCACAGATCGCAGCCCCCCCAGGGATGGCGAGGTCTAGTGTGAATTTGCGTGTGGCGTCACTGTGCTGGGCCCCCCAGCAGGCCTCGAAAGTGGCGACAGTTTCACAGATTACAGCCCCCCAAGGATGGCGAGGCCTAGTGTGAATCTGCGTGTGGCGTCACTGTGCTGGCCCCCCCAGCAGGCATCGAACGTGAAGGCAGTTTCGCAGATCGCAGCCCCCCCCCAGGGATGGCGAGGTTTAATTTGGGTCCCGCGCGTGGCGTCACTGGGCTGGGCCCCCCAGCAGGCTTCGAAAGTGGCGACAGTTTCACAGCTCGCAGCCCCCCAGGGATGGCGAGGTCTAATTTGAATCTGCGTGTGGCGTCGCTGTGCTGGGCCCCCCGGCAGGCCTCGAAAGTTGCGACAGCTTCACATCGCAGCCCCCCAGGGATGGCGAGGTTTCGTTTGAATCTGCGTGTGGCGCCATTGTGCTGGGCCCCCCAGCAGGCCTCGAAAGTGGCGACAGTTTCACAGATCGCAGCCCCCCGCAGGCAAGACAGGAGGAGGCAAGAGGGAGGCGGGGAGGAAGGAAGGAGGGAAGGAGGAAGTGGAGACACACTGCTTTATTCAAAACGAATACCTAACCAAGGAGGGTTGGGGAAAAAACACGTGATGGAGGCGATCCATTTCGCCAGGCCAAACTACGGGTTCGCTGTCAATCGGATCAAATTTGAATCGCTACCAGTTTGTCGCGAGACTACCTTGCTGAAGCCAGACGGCGCCCCCATCCCGAGCAAGGACAGCATGGTCTATTTCGGGGGGCTCTTGAGCTCCGCGGGTCGGAGCAGGCCTGAACTCGACCGTCGGCCGGGCATGGCCAGCGCCGGCTTTGAGACGTTGTGGCGTTGTGCAAAGTGTGGCAGCGCGCGCGGCTGTCCCTCGAAAAGAAGCCATCAGTTTCTGACGCGCGTGTAGTATCTATGTTACTATGTTGTTTACGCGCTGTCTGATTTAACGCAGCAGAGCGCAGCAGGATCGACGCTCTTCAGGTGCGTTGCCTGCGCCGGATTTCGGGTATCGAGCACTCGTGCATGAACCGTATTGATAATGCAACTGTTTTACAGCGATGTTGCGCTCAGAAGCTGAGCGACATACTGGCGCGCAGGCAGATGAAACTCATGGGGCGCATTGCCCAGGTGCCAGGGAACCGCCCCGCGCGCAGGTGCATTTTCCAGCCTGGTACTTTCGAGCTCGCGCAGGCAGGGGCTCGCCGGAGGGGTCGGCCCCGCGACGCGTGGGAGTTTCATGTGTGCGGTCTTGCTTGCCAGACGGCCCTGGGGGCACCCCGAGACATTATGAGAATCTCGTTTTGGGAGGGGGCCCCATGGGATTTCGGGCCAGGGTCCTGGCGCGGACTTCGTTGCAACGTTGGAGTTAGAAAATAGAACATGTCCCATCGCTTTTAAGTAGCCCACATCGTTTCACTTCGCTACGAATCATTTCACTTTCACTTCGTTTCGGCCCATTCCAATACATTGCTTCTCTAGGCTCTGAATTGCACTGCGCTGCGCTGTTCTCTACGTCGCGTCACGCTGTGCCACCGCAGTCCACATCCAATTCACATTATTTGTGTGTCCAGCAATTTCGTTCCATGCTAGTGCACTCCAGCGCACGCCACTTCACGTCATTCGCTTCGCGCCACTTTCCATTCCGCACCGCGTTTCGCTTCCTTCAGTATCGTACGCGCCATCGCTTGCACGCCGTGCGCGTCGCGCCGGCTCACCTCGCTCCATTTCGCCGAATCTCAACCTTCACAGCCCGCCCGCCCTCACATCTCCTCGCGCCGCGTGGCCTCGTCTCACTCCACCTCGCCGCGCCGAGCCTCCCCTTCTCCCCTCCGCTTAAGTGTTTTGTGTGCCTGGCCGGACCTGGCATGGCCATCAGGCCCTGCCGTCGGCCGCGGCCCCTCTGGCATGCCTTGCCAAGCGCCCCCGCCTTGGGGCGCCAGCGCTGGAGAGCACCGTGGAGCCCGACGAGCCCAGACCGCCCAGCGTCTTTTGAAAATCTCCGCGCGGGAGCTTTGCGCCGTTCTCGGCCCCTGGGGGCCTTCGCCGGGTCCCGGGACCGTCAGAAAATCAATTCGCTATGCAGAGCCGTTCTTGGGGACGACGACGACGACGACGACGACGACGACGACGACGACGACGACGACGACGACGACGACGACGACGACGGCGACGGCGTCGACGACGACGACGACGAAGAAAACGACGACGATGACGACGAACGACGACGAACGACGACGACGACGAACGACGACGACGACGACGAAGACGACGATGACGACGATGACGACGACGACGACCCCGATCGGGCGGCTGCGCCTGCTTTCGCCCCGCCCGCGGCCTCAGGGTCGCCTCGGTGGGCCCGCCGGGCAAGCGGATCCCCGATGCCTTTTAGAAGTGGAAGGAATTGCATTCAGAGGCGACGATAGGGGCGAATAGCCCTGGGAAATCAATACATGTATTCAGGTGCGCCGATGATTTATGTCTTCGAAGAGGCTCCCGGTCGAATACGTGTAATGCCCGCCCCTGGGCTATTCGCCCCTGTCGTCGCCGCCGAGGCATGAGCATGAAATTTCGGAGCTTCGCGCGGAGCTCGCGGAACTCTTGGGTCTGTGCCGGGCCCCTCTTCTTTGGCGCGCGGAGAGCGCCAGGGGCGGCGCTGGAGGCGCCGCCAAGGAGGTCAGGTCCGGCGCCGATCCAAGAAGTCCGCGCGACGCTCCAAAAGTTTATGTCCATGCCATTGTTTCCTTCCTCGGCTCACGGCCCTCAGCCCCCGCGTGCAGAACCTGTCAGCTGTAGCCTCCTGCTGCGCAGCGGAGCCGCTGCTAGCTGATGTTGGACTCTGCCTCACGTCGAGGTGGGACCAGGGGGAGTGGAAGCATCTAGTGGCCCTCAGCCCATCGCACCAAGTTGCGGGGTCTCTTAGAAGCCTCCGGGGAGCCTCCTGCAAGCCTTTTGGGGTCCTGCCTCTTGGGGGCCTCATGGGGTCCTTTAGGGGGCCTGCCTCTTGGAATCCTCCTGAGGGCTTCTCGGGGGTCCTCTTCCGGGAGGTGCGGCGGTGGCGCGCTCTTGGGGGCCGTCTTGGAGCCTTCTTTGGGGCTTCTTGGGCCTTCCTCGGGGCCTCGGAGGTCATTCTGCGGCGACTTTGTGAGCCCTTTGGGCTGTCTTGGACGGTCTTAGGACTCGACAGGCGAGAATGCAATAACGCGTTCAAGCATCTGATGCTTTTCAATGATGTTGGCCTCTTGGGTCTGCCCTCAGGACTGGCCCCCAGGGGCTCCAAGACGGCCCACGCAGCGCCCACGAGGGTTCCAGCACGGGCACTGGGACCACCCTAGGCCATGCTGGACGTTTGGGATCTCAAGAGTGCTTCTAGTGTCTCGAGAAACGCCACGGGACAAGCCCCAAGAGCGTCTGGCTCCTGGAAATTGGCGTCTCGGGTGTGCCAACATTGTTTTTGGCGTTCTCCTTCCTCTCCCCTTTCTCTCGTTCCTCCATCCCTTCTCCCCGCAACCTACACGCGCAACCTTTTGCCTGCCAATGCGCCGTCTGGGTGGCAGGCATTCCAGAGAGGCGGAGGACGAGGAGGAGGAGGCGGAGGAACAGGAGTAGGAGAAGGAGAACGGCGGGATGATTAGGAGGAAAAGGGTGGAGGAGGAGGAGGCGGACGACGACGACGACGAGGCGGCGAAGGAGGAGGAGGAGGAGGAGGACGACGATAAAGACAAAATGATGAGTCTTTTAGGATGGACAAAGGCCAAACTGCCTGAGGTAAGTCCCAGCACCGTGCCATCCCAGCATTCTGCGTGGCGACTACACGGAGTTTACGGGAGGCCGTCGCGTGTGACACCTCGTATCCCAAGGCTTCGGGGAATCGTGATGATGCTGATGATGATGGTGATGTTGATGATGATGATGATGATGACGACGATGTTCATGATGATGACGCTGATGATGATGATGGTGATGATGATGATGATGATGATGGTAGTGGAGATGGTGGTAGTTGTAGTGGTTGTCATGATGGTGGTGATGATGACGATGGTGGTGGTGGCGATGGTGGTAGTGATGATGCTGAAAATGACGGCGACGAGGATGATGGTGATGATGATGGTGGTGATGACGACGACGACGATGATGATGCTGATGATGATGAGGATGATGATGCTCATGATGGTGTTGATGATGGTGATGATGGTGATGACAAAGATGATGATGCTGGTGATGGCGGTGACAGTGATGATAATTCTGAGTATGATGATGCTGCTGCTGATAATGTTGATGAGGATGATGCTGATTATGATTATGTTTATGGTGATGATGACGACGATTAGGATGAAGATGGTGATGATGACGCTGCTGATGATGATCATGTTGATGCTGATGATGTTGATGATGATTCTGATGATGATTCTGATGATGATGATGATGATGATGATGATGCTGATGATGATGATGATGATGATGACGTCGATGATGATAATGATGATGATCATGATGCTGATCATGATGATGATTCTGATGATGGTGGTGGTGATGCCGACGATTATGTTGATCATGCTCATGATGCTGATGATGATCATGATGCATATTAGGATTTTGATGATGACGATGATGATGATGACGATGACGATGATTCTGATAATGTTGATGACGGTGGTGATGATGATGACGACGACGATGATGATGCTGATTATGCTGATGGTTATGATGATCGGTGATGAATATGATGATGACGATGGTGATGATGATGATAATGATGATAATGATGATAATGATGATAATGATGATGATCAGGATGATTATGTGGACGATAATGATGATGATGATGATGATGATGATGATGATGATGATGATGATGATGATGATGATGATGATGATGATGATGATGATGATGATGATGATGAATGATGATGATGACGGTGATGCTCCATGTGAAAACTTATGGAGGATGAGCTGATGCTGATGCTGCTGCTGATGATGATGATGATGATGATGATGATGCTGCTGATTGTGATGATGATGATGATGATGATGATGATGATGATGATGATGATGATGATGATGATGATGATGATGATGATGATGATGATGATGATGATGCTGATGATGAGGATAATGAATATGCCTTTACAGGCTTACGCCACAGCCGCCGACCCCTTAACTTAGTTCAAGGTTTTGATGGTGATTTTCGGTGTTTGGAGGGTTCACGTCGCGCAGTTGGCAGGCCTTTCAGTGCAGTGGTAAGTGCCAGGGGAAATTGCCGAAGTCGGCTTTCTCCGTGGACGCGAGCCATGTCGCGCGTGACGAGAAGAAGGGCACCTTGAAATTCACGGCATGCAAATGATACCAGTAGGGCGCCCGTGCCATGGCCCGTGCAAGTAGGAGAAGCGGGGGTGCGAGCGAGAGGGAGGACGAAGCCGATTAAAAGAGAGAGGTGAAAGTGGAGGAGGAGGAGGAGAAGGAGGAGGAGGAGGAGGAGGAGGAGGAGCAGGGGGAAGATGGGGGAGAGGGGGAACGGGAGTCAAAGAAGAGGAGGAAGAGGAGGAGGAGGAGGAGGAGGAGGAGGAGGAGTCACGATCTGGTCTTGAGGCGTCACGGGGGCGTCTTGGAGGTAGTGTATGGGCCTCTTGGTGGTTGTCTTGGAGCCTTTTGGGGGCCTTTTCGGCCTCGCTTGGGGCTCCCTGGGACCCTCTTGGGAGGTTCTTGCAGCAGGATGAGGGAATCTCGGAGCCAAAGGACCAACAAGTTGCCCTCCCGGCTCCCTCGTGGAGCCGTCTGGAGGCCCTCGTGGGCCGTTTTGGGCGCTTCTTGGGCCGTCTTTGGGCCCTCTTGGACTGGACCTCTCTCGGCAGTTGCCGAGGCCGTCCTGGGAGGATATGGAAGGTTTCATGGCCCGTGTCGGACGTTGCGAAACCGCCAGAGGCCAAGGAGGTAAAAATGAACATTTTACGAAGGGACTGGGACGATTTCTGCTTCTTTGGGCTCGCTTGGGACGCCTCTTGGGGGCCTCTTGGGTCGTCTTGGGGGCTTCGGAGGCTGTCTGGAAGCCATCGTGGGCGTCTTGGAAGGATATTTCGGCGACTCGTCGCCCTTTTGGACGGTCAGGGAGGCGTTTTGGTGCCCTCTTGGCTCATTTTGGGGCCCTCTGTTCCCCCATGGCGCGTTCGGCGGTGGGTCGTGCCGGGCGAGGGGGGGAGTCGAATTGTCGGTTTGGGGTCCCAGGGGGGGGCTTATGGGGGGAAGAATCTCACACGCCTACAGACCCACAAGGGGTCGGCGGATATTGGTGATGGTGGCGTTGTGGATGTTGACGACCACGACGACGACGACGACGACGACGGTGATGATGATGATGATGATGATGATGATGATGATGATGATGATGATGATGATGATGATGATGATGATGATGATGACGATGATGATGATGATGGTGCCAATGATGAGGATGATGCTGATGATGATGCCGACTATGATGGTGATGACGATGATGCGGATGATATGATGATGATAACGATGCTTAGGATCATGACTATGATGATGAGGACGATGATCAGGACGATGATGAAGAAGCTGATGATGATGGTGGTGGTGATGACGGTAATAGTGATGATACTGATAATGACGACGATGATGATGACGATGGTGATGATGGTGGTGATGACGATGACGACGACGACGCTGATGATGATGCTGATGCCGATGATGATGCTGATGATGATGATGAAGATGATGATATGATGGCGATGATGCTGATGATGACGACGGCAGTGACGATGATTCTGATTATAATTTTGCTGCTGCTGATGAAGATGTTAAGGATTATGATGCTGATTCTGATTATGATGATGACGACGATGATGATGATTACGATCATTCTGCTGCTGATGTAGCTCATGATGACTGCGATGATGGTGACGACGACGATGATGGTGATGATGATGGTGATGATGATGTTGATCATGCTGAACTAAATGATGATGTTGGTGATGATGACGATGTTGATTATGATTATGATGCTGCTGATGATGCCGATTCCGATGATGATGGTGATGATGACGCTGATTACGAGGGTGCTGACGCTGATGCTGATGCTGATGCTGATGGTGCTCATGGTGATGGTGATGAAGATGAAGATGGTGATGATGATGATGATTACGATGATGATGATGATGATGATGATGATGATGATGATGATGATGATGATGATGATGATGATGATGATGATGATGATGAGGATGAGGATGAGGATGAGGATGATGATGACGATGATGATGATGTTGATGGTGATCAAAATCATGGTATTGTTGATGATGGCGATAATAATGTTGATTATGATGATGCTGCTGCTGATGATGATGATGGTGATGATGATGATGATGCTGAAGCTGATGCTGATGATGATGACGACGATGCTGCTGATGATGACGATGATGGTGATGATGAGGATAGTAATGCTCACCATCATCATCATCATCATCATCATCATCATCATCATCACCATCATCATATGGAGGAGGAGGAGGAGGAGCAGGAGGATGGGGCAATAGGATGGCCGTTACATGTGACACCTTTCGTCTTCACTTGTTGATGAGCCCTTACCGAACTCGTTTTGGCCGTCTTGTGGCTGTCTTGGCCTCCTGTGAGGCAGCCTTGGGGTCCCTTGGGGGCCCCCTTGGGCCCTTTCGGGGCGGTCTGTGGCCGTGTTGTTTTTTTCGGGCCGTCTCGGAGGCATCTTGGACCAGCACTCGTAATTGATAAAGGGTTGTGGCCCCGGGAACGCGGCGGCGTTGTACGTGTGTGCTTGCACGGGAAGGTGAAGGGAAGTGTGTGCGGTTGATGTCTCCGGTTGCCATAGTTATGCTCAAGCCTGCTTCTTTCTCTCAGAAGCGTTCATGGTCCTGGTCCAATTCTCGGACTGGTCCCTGATCGCTGTCCTCGCGCTGTGGCTTGCCTTGGCCTGGCTGGCAGGCGGTCGAGCTCGGCCTGGCCACCGCGGGATCGCACAATGTCCTGAGTCCGCCGCCGCCTTTGCCGTCGGCGGACTGATGCGTTGCAGGCCCGCCCGAGTGGCTTGGGGCGGTCTGCCCGCCGACGCCGGTGTGCCCGGCCTGCCCGCCGTGCCCAGCGTGCGCGTGTGCGGCCTCAGCGGCGGCGGAACCCGCGTCGGCCGGCGTGCTCGTCGGCGTCGGGGGCCCTTTCGGTGCTCACCAACCTCATCGGCTTCGCGGTGAGCCAGTGCGGCCGCTGTCGCGCCCGCGGGCGAGGCGTTGCGGAGAGGCATAGCGCTGCTCCCGTTCGGCCAGGAGGAGGAGTGGTACAGAGAGCTCTTGCCGGGCCAGTGCGTGGCCATGGAGTACGACGGAGACGACGTGGACCATGAGAGGGTCCTACTATACCCTCTTGGCAGGGGGATCTGGTGGATCCGCACCCCTGACGGGGACGAGAGTACTTCAGGACGTGGCGTGCCAGGACCCGAACGACGGCCCGACGCG